CGAAATCAATCGTTTAAGAACTTCGTCAGAAAATTTTCTAAATTTTCTAATTTCTTTCGCCAAAGGAATATGAAGCTTACTACATAAGTAGATCCCTCCCCGAAAAGCACACGAGCCACCTAAAGACCGTCAATCATAAGAACTGCATAAACGTACAAAAATCTGTTCCCCTGCCCGATCAAGTTGCCCTACGTGCCGCTTGAAAACAGTTCAAAAATTATAAGAACTGTCCCGAACGTACAAAAATCTGTTCCCCTGCCCGATCAAGTTGCCCCACGTGCCGCTCGAAGACAGTTCAAAATGCCCTACGTGCCGCTTGAAGACCATTTAAAAATTATAAGGACTGCCCCAAACGTACAAAAATCTGTTTTTCTGCCCGATCAAGTTGCCCTACGTGCCGCTTGAAAACCGTTCAAAAATTCTAAGAACTGTCCCAAACGTACAAAAATCTGTTCCCCTGCCCGATCAAGTTGCCCTACGTGCCGCTCGAAGACCGTTCAAAATGCCCTACGTGCCGCTTGAAGACCATTTAAGAATTATAAGGACTGCCCCAAACGTACAAAAATATGTTCCCCTGCCCGATCAAGTTGCCCTACGTGCCGCTCGAAGACCGTTTAAAATGCCCTACGTGCCGCTTGAAGACCATTTAAAAATTATAAGGACTGCCCCAAACGTACAAAAATCTGTTTTTCTGCCCGATCAAGTTGCCCTACGTGCCGCTTGAAAACCGTTCAAAAATTATAAGAACTGTCCCAAACGTACAAAAATCTGTTCCCCTGCCCGATCAAGTTGCCCTACGTGCCGCTCGAAAACAGTTCAAAAATTATAAGAACTGTCCCAAACGTACAAAAATCTGTTCCCCTGCCCGATCAAGTTGCCCTACGTGCCGCTTGAAAACAGTTCAAAAATTATAAGAACTGTCCCGAACGTACAAAAATCTGTTCCCCTGCCCGATCAAGTTGCCCTACGTGCCGCTCGAAGACCGTTCAAAATGCCCTACGTGCCGCTTGAAGACCATTTAAAAATTATAAGGACTGCCCCAAACGTACAAAAATCTGTTTTTCTACCCGATCAAGTTGCCCTACGTGCCGCTTGAAAACCGTTCAAAAATTATAAGAACTGTCCCAAACGTACAAAAAATTTGTTTCCCTGTCCGATCATATTGCCCTAGGTGCCGCTTACAAACCAGTATCATCTATCTGAAAGACAGTTCATACCCCACATGCCGCTTGAAGACCGTCTAAAAATTATAAGAAATGCCCAAATGTACAGAAATCTGTCTCCCTGTCCGATCAAGTTGCCCTGCGTGCCGCTTACAGACCGATAGTAAATATTCAAAAAGAAAGTTTAAGCCCTAAGTGCCGCTTGAAGACCGTATATATAAGAAAAAACATCTACGACCCCTAAAAACAACGAAATCAGGTATTTACAGCGTATTCTGAAATTGCCGTACATGCCATTTTTGGACTTTCAATTCTGAGAACTGCCCCAAACGTACAATAATCTGTTTCCCTGCCCGATGCAATTGCCCTACGTGCCGTTTACACACCGATTCCTAGTTGAAAGCGCAAGCGGTACCCATTAACAAGCAAAAGCAAGGCTGTTATTAGATAAACGTTTCCAAAAGTACCAGCGAGACCAAATTACTCACGCACTCTCTTGTCTACACGTGGAAGCAAAACGATCCTAAAGTGACTGTTTTTAATTAGAGCATTTTTACAAGAGTTGTGAACTTAGATGAATTCAGCTCAAGTCACGCTGTTACGCAAATTGGCATCATTTCAAAAGCAACTAATAGAAGTACGACATATTCGGAAGACACATTCTGGGATAACAAGCTCGAAAAAAAAAAAGCAGGCACAAGTATTAACACACCCGGATGGCGACCCATTCTCAAAATCATTGCGACACTCATGATTGCCTTTCGAAATACGTGTGACCCTTTTACGAAAATATGCTTGGTCACTCGTTTTGAAATTTGGCAGCGTTCCAAAACGCATGCCACTTGGCAGCAATCCAATTCCAAAGATCAGTGTATTTCATCATAATTTTTACGTCTGCGCCCTCCTCGTTTGCCATAATCCAACTATCAGAGGGTTAATGGGTAAACAACGAATTCGTTATATATTACGTAGTGATCTACTACCACATTTTCATTATAATCCCTCCATATCAATCCATATCAACCCAAGTAAGGAGATAAGTTTGCGTGTGTAACGAATAAGGATCCGTTGGGAGTTTCTTGTGCTAAGTGCAGTATGTTGTATGGAAGCAGAAAAAACTGTTCTTCTGAAGCGATCTTCAGTCGGGCGGTTTCACGATTTGCTATCGTTTGTAACATTGGATGATTGTTTATAATATGGTTCTGAAAACGGTAAACGTTGTGCATGAAATGATCTTTTTCTCTCCAAATCAGTGTGATAAATATTCCTTATCTGACGGCCATCAGCCATTGCGTGTATGAGCATTTCGAATTATTGTCGAGGCTTAATGAATTTTGGCCCTATATGTCTGCTTATCGCATAGAGAACAAGTCGAACTGAGGTGAATGAAGATTTGAATTTGTATGGTGCATATCATCCACGGCAGGCTACACATTCTCGTGAAAGGCGCTGATCCTAAAATAGCATGAAGAATTTTTGAAGATTTATCGTATTTTAGCAGGAATAAACCAGATTAAAGGTGAAGAGCAAGGCATTTTTGTCATCTCAAGAGTGTCTGTAGGAGTAGCCAATATCCTGAGAAGAACTGTGTGCTAGTTGCAGGTTATGCTAAACCTTCCTGAACTAACAAACGGTAAATTCCACTAAAATGTTATCAGTATCGGCGGATGGGGCTAAACTTCCCTTTTTGCAGATACTTGAACGAGAAGAACTATAATCCTCGTAGCGGTGTGTTGATATTATTTTAACAAAAGGGCAGCCCATGTGATTTAGCTGATTTGTGGATCATGAAACCTTGAGAATCTATGAAATACGGTTGGTAATCCAGAACGCATGCAGGATATAGATCTAGTGGGTGGCTATAGATCCGGCATCGTTTTTATTCATGAAGGGAGGTCAGCAGGAGTAGTAGCGAGTTAGCAAAGTCACGTATGGTTGCTGAAAGAGACTAACTTTTGATTCAATTGGCTTGTGGGCTGGAAGGCGGGGCGTTGTGACCCAATTAAGGCCGCTCGCGCCCGCAACACAGTCTGTGTCTCTCTAGCGCGCGTGCTTTCTGATCAATAGCTAATCTCAGTTAGATCACGAAGCCCCGTCTTCAGACTGCCAAACCAGTTGTATCAGAGGGTATGTTTGGGAAACCGAATTTGAGATTCTGCATAGAACTGAATGAATAAGAAGAAGTGGGAGTGGCTGCTTTCAGTGATATCTTTGAGTTCAGTTAGAGGATTCGTACCTGTGTATAAAAAGTGTATAAAACAATGCACTTTTTTGATGAGTAGATGCTAGAGTGAAGAAATAGGTGAGTGATAAGTGGGCTCTATATTGTGGGTAGCTGAGGGTGAAGTAAGGTCTTGCTCACACTTTAGACAACCTAACGAGTTTCTTACAAGTCATGTTTATGTATCTAAACTTGGTACTCGAAATTGCTTGGAAATTGAAGAAAAAATAACCTGATGTAAAGCAAAGTTGATTTGAGTAATTCATTTGTGATGGACTTCATATAGTATAGTGCTTAGCTGACTTAAAAAAATGCAAAGAACAGAGATTCAAAAAAGTTGTATCGTGGGTTCGTGGGCTTGAGAGCTTGCGTCTTGCGAAGGATATCTCTTCTTAGTAATGGTATTTTTGAAAATCAAAAGTGTGTGCTCTAAGTTTTGAATTGTGTCTTAAAATTCGTTGACGCTGGACTTGATCTCTTACTGTGTTTACTAATAAGCCAGATTTATCGGGAATAAGTGTGATCCAAAAGACCGCCTCAAAATTTGAAAGAATGTTGTATAGCGAGCTTTGTGAGGCGATGTTTTGCTTAGAATCCAAACAGTTCCTCTAGAGAAATAGGAGATTGAGTGCCTGAGAGAACACCTGAACCTTGGGGTATGTCAGTGGCGAATTTTGGAAGACATCTTGCATGAAATCCGAAAAGATATCCTTGAATTGTTGGAAGGGTGTGTAAGAGAAAGGATTTGAAACTTATGGGAAAGGAAGGGGAACTTTAAACTATGTGGCAAAGCGAACGGTGATAGTAGAAAATTTTTTCATCGAAGCAAAAGTTTGGGCATGCGTGGATTGATCTGATATTGAAATGCTGGGCTTTGAAAGACTAACTTTGATTGAATCTGTGTTCGGATGCTGTTCAGATGGTAACTTATATGTCAGCGAGTAATGGACGGACTTTGAAGGGCTTATTTTACATTCCAAAAAGATTTGCAGAATGAAAATAACCAAAGTCTTTGCATCCGTGGTTGGTTGTGAATGATGGATGTTGTCTTTGATACCAGGCTTTAATTCATTTCCAGAGCGGACTCTGAGACCGTGAATGGCTTGAAATCTTGAGAAAAGTGAATATGGATATTTCAATGCGAACTATTTCCTCAAGAAATTCGTGTTGATTGGAAGATCAAATTATGTGCGTGTAGCGGGCATCAGTGGGCTATGCAGTAGAACCAGATAATTGGAGAAACTAAAATGTGTGCGTATGCTAGGCTGTATGGAATGTTTCTCGAAGAATCGAGAATAGATCAGATTCACTGTTGTTGAATGCGGCCATGAAAGATACTTTTCATCAATAGACAATGTCTCTTTGAAGCTTTGAATGTCTGCGTTTTGCTTTAGAATATCTGGAATATGGCGTCTTCGGTGCAAAACAATAGAATTCGAAGGAGTTTTTCATTGGTGAACACAGAGTTCTGTCTGTCCGGACTCACAAAAGATATATTGCTAAGAATCCAAAGGAACTGATAAAGTATGCGTGTGACTATGAAAGTGTATGCCGAGTGGCTTTTGATTGCTTGGTAGCCAAAAACTAAATGAGTAAAGAAAATGCGTTCATGAATTATGTTTGAGTCAGCACCAGTTTATGAAGATGCTCTATGGGAGTATTCGTATATGGGAGTGCAAAAGGTTTAAAACATGCAAGAATGTGTTCTGGATGGGTTTCCAAATGCTTTATCTAGAGAGGTGGCCCTTTGAATGCCTACTGCGATTACAATGAAAGGGTTTCCATGCTTAGTGTATGCACATTTTCAAATGATGAAATTGTCGCTGTTTCCTAGACTCCTAGACTCGGGTATCAGATTTGGCAGAATCTCAATCAAGGACAAGAAATTAGAACTTTCAAATGAAGCGAGGATGTGAAAATAATCTGAATTTCAAATGCATGCTGGATAGCTGCTTCGACGGAATATTTTGCTTGGAATATTTGGACGAGAAAGACTGGTTCTAATACAGAGAGGTTTGTGAAAGTAGAATTTCATGTTCGAAGCAAGACTTGTCTGGCGAGACATTCACATTCCAAGAAGTATAGGAGAAATGAGGTCTGCGTTTTGGTCCAATCTAGGTAAAACTTCCGTTGTCAGACTTTGGTTTACTTGGTAGCGGACTGATTATATAATGCTTGGATTTTAGAAAATTTCCAAATGGGTCTGGGTCGAAACAATTTTTCTGGTTCTTATTGTTGCAAATATTGCAGAATTTTGTGTGTGTTTGGTGAACTCTCAGTTATTTCTTAGCACAGAAATCCATTTTTTCTTTGAAAAATAGGCATGTGCGGGCAAAAATTATCGTAAAATCACGGAGATATGCTAAATAGCGTACTTAAGAGGACTACATTTTGCGACGTTTTCTAGAAATAGTGCTTAATCTAGGTAGCTGAAATTTATACTGTTTAGCAGGAATTTGGGTCTAAAGTTATTCTAATCTATTTTTAAAGTTACGATATAATCCTTGGAAAAAAGTCTATGCGTCACTTCAATTTTAGCTATAGATGAAAATTGTTTCATGATTAATGATAATGATGGCTTTGATTGAATCTTGTCAAAATACATGCGCTATCTTATATTATAAATGCTGAGTGGCATGCTATTTTTTAATGAAAGTAATTTTTTTTGAATTACGTAACATTTTCTAAAATGTTGAAGTGTGGTATGAAGATTCATACAAAGCTTAAGTAAGTGTATGTGGTTAATTATTTCATTGGATGTATGATAGCGACAGATAAAAAATATGCTTGAGAAGGGAAATTCAATAATAGCCTTTTGAGTTGTGTGATGCTTGCACTCGCAAAAAAGTTGAAGAAGAATTCGATTTTGGTGAAGACAATCAAGAAGATATTGATAGAAATAACACAGTACATTTGATTGTTTTTTTTTTCGACTTCATAAGAATATACGTGGGCGGAAGGGAGGTTTTTCCATATAAAAACCAAAATTTTTTGCATCACACGTATCCATATGTAGTGTTGTGACACTTTATCATAATGCTCAGCTTTCTACACTTTTTAAAAAAAGTTTCAGTGCAATGATTTTTGATGATAAAACAATTGCTTCAAACATTCGTACCAGTTTCTATTGTTGAATTTTTTCAATGGAAAAGAGGTTGCATAGTCACCAGTATCTGCTGAGTTTTTTTTAATAGTTTTTTGTTAATATTTGCCGGAATGGGACGTAGAATTTGTGTAGCGCAAGTTTTTCACTTATCATTTGTACTAAAATGAGCATTTTGGCTTTAGGGTCAAATGTCATTTGTAAGAACCAAACATATATGCGTTGATTTTACATTATATTTAGGCATCATTGTCGGCTGAATGAATGCTTTAGCAATTCAATATATCGCACCAATCGTTTTTTGTATGTGTGTAAACGATATGCTGATTATTTGTGATGTTAGTTTACCGTACCTCGGTTTCAAACAGCAACAAAAGTGACACCCTTTTCTTGGTGTCCCAATATCAGTTGTCCAGTCATAGCTGCAATGCAAATATAATCGAAGTGAAATGAAGATTTCCTTTTTTTTGTTTTCGTCACATTGTCATACAAACAAAAATTAGACAGTCTGTATAACAGCAAAAGAAATGGATATTGCTATTGGTTCTTTGGGACGGTCTCGCTTTGTCGCTTAAGAAGTTTGTTTTCTGCATTCGACCACTGAATCGATTACTAAGGAAATCATCTCGCAAACTGTTTTGGAATTTAAACGTAACCCATAGCGGAATAAAGAGGAAGCGGTTCTTTTATCGAAGAACGCGAGTTACTCGAATCCTCAGTGCCTGTGAGGTTATAGAAAATATTGTTAGAAGCTGCCATTGATACGAAAACGTCTGCACAGCTAGTGCTTTGATTGAAATGTTAAGCAATACGATCTGACATTTGCCTGAGAGGGTTATTTATCTTCTGTTCTAGTTCAAGAGTAAGGTAAGTTATGGGTATCCCACTCTTTCTAGTTTACAAATGAAATCTTACAGGTGAACAGGTGGTAAGTTCCTGCAGCTGCCCACAACAATTTACCCAATCAAGTTCGCTAAAGTGTACTTGCGCCACATAAAGGTCAGCTTCTCAATCCTTTATGAATTCTTGTCTAGTCGATATTTGCGATTTAGCCGGCAAAAATGTAACCTGTCATCATTTGGAGAAGAACGGTCTGTCGGGAAGTTTGGTACGTAATACATTTTGCTCGAGTGCGGTATCGATGTGCGGATCTATCTACAGAAATTGGCTTTGGGACAATCGGGTACCATGCAACTTGGCAAATGTGAATGTGTTTTAAATTTCAATGAAAGTTTGACCGTACTGTTGTGAATGAACTGTGAAGAGGCAAAGAAAAGATGTACTACATTGGAATAACATTGATGGAGAAGTTTGTAGTCTTAACCTAACAATAAGAGAGTTAATCTTGACCAGCTTTTTTGATACTTTACATAAGAGTTGACTCGATGCTGAAACTCATCTGCGGACACTGTATTGAGTTCGCACTGTATCGTCATTTTTTCGGTTAGGTTGGTATACAGTAGATAATCAAGTTTTATATTTACTCGGAATTTTGCCATAAGGGGCCCTCAGCCTTCAGCGTTGCTGATTCCGATTAACATTTTTTGCTTTTGGAAACTCTTCGGGCAGATGGCAGACCTACGGTAGGTGGTCGAATTCGTACATCAGCTGAAATTCCGCGAGTGGAGCTTTCTGACACGCTGTTTCGCTCATCCGCATTCCTTATGAGGTCTTCTTTGAATTTTTGGGACCTAAGGCGGGAGTCGCATCAGACCACAACTCCTATATAAGGTCTGTTGCATCGACAGAGGATGGTGTTTGTCAATATGTTAAGAAAGTCTCTAGAGAAAGTTGCAATTGGAGTTTTGACCCATCTGCCGTATATCAAACATAACGTGAAGAAAATGTCGCCGGCATGGTGCATCTATACTAAAGTTACTGCATGACGAAGGCGCAGGAGCAGTAATAGATGGGCGGGCGCGAATGCGGCGCGCGCGTATTTTCACTGTTGCAAATCCTGCGCCCCATGCGCTCTGCGCTACTAAAGCCGCGTTCGGGCCTATATTGCGCCTTTGTCATGCTCCAGCCTATATTATCCATGCTCGAGGTCAAGGCCCCAATCTAGACGAAAATACAGGCAGACTTTGTCCCTTTACCGTGGTCCTACTGCAACAGCACCGGATAGCGTTACTTCTAATGTGACATTCGTATCCAGGTTGCCGAACAATCCCGTAGGCGGTTTTAGAACAATTCGCAATTTTCATTTCTAGGTAGCAAATGTGTGTATCAGAATCGTCATATGTTTTTCCAAGTAAATCTTCAGATTTCTTTTCAACGAGTAAATTGTTCATTTTCATTACCTTTGTGAAATCTTTGACAGCATTTATGATACCCTTTGGTATAGTCGCGGTAGAGAAGTCGCCACATTCTGGAAGGAGAACGGTATCAGAGACTACAGATAGCTGCGATCCGCACCGATTTACATTTCTTTGTCGTTCGCTTGATCCATATGATGCATAAGGTAAATTATTGGAATAGCAGGTCTATATTGATACATGACATTCTATCTTATGAAATTGCCAAAATATAATTTAACATGCCATGCTGTTAGAAAAAGTCAAGATAAGCAACCAGAAAACTCAACAGTTTATTTTGACTGAAAATCAACCACACATCACTGGTTCAGATCGTAGTGGCTAGCATCTTCACACCTGTAAGTTGAGGATCTATAATCAGCCTTTTCGAATGTTCACGGCGTTTTTGGGGAAATGGACTTTGAGAGTTGGTTTTTTGAAAGGATTCATCTTTGATCTGGTCAAATTTAGCACCCGTCGTTTTTACCAAGTCCAGCTTCAATAATTTTCAGAATTTTATTTGAAGCTCTCGTGGGACATTTGATATCGCGACTAGAACAAACATATTACAGTGTATCGGCTATTTGGGGTTTCTTGGAACTCTGAAAATTTCCTAGCTCTCTGATACGGGTTTTTTAAACTCATAGAACTTCACTAGCTGAGTGGTTCAGATCTCATTAAATACATTGTCGTATCTTTTTTTTCAAAAATGCATTTTCTTGGCAACCTATGCCTTGCGCAAACACGATAATCGTAAACACAAATGTTTCAAACGTATTTTGAAGCGATGATTGTTTCAATGAAATGAATGGTCTGAAGCCACTTCGCCAAATCTGCCTTGAGAAGTGCAGCAAAATTTTCAAAGCAAAAGTTGGACAAAACGAAGATATGTTTAGGACTTTTGCAGATATTTCAGTTAATAGAGAAATCAGCTGGACATTGCAGCAGCTGCAAAGGTTTCTGAAGACAGAAGCATAACATATTCCTATTGCTGTTCTACGTGATTCGCCATTAGGCTCCAAAAACGATGTGAACTTGCAAAACATCCTGTAGGCAAGTCGTAGCATGCAGAGACTGGTAACCATTCCAATTAAGAGAATTCGTGTTTGAAAGAGACAGCAGACGGCTAGAGGAATGGAAGTGCTTTGAGACGCAATGCGTCTCGTCTCTGCGTGCGACGAATCGTCCATAACCGAATGCATTACTTTCTCTTATTTTGCAGGTAAAGCACAAGGAAGAAAAACCTAAAAATTGTCATTTACCGAAACGTAGTAGTCTGTAGTAGTCCTCGGAGTCGCCATATCCTGAAATGTACTTGTGATTTTGCAGCGCGGTAATTAGTGGTGTGGTATAAAATTACGCTATAAGCTCATGAACTAACAATGAACCGACTTATTTCAGTTTGCCTCACAAGTGCTTAGACATTTGTGATTTCAAGCCAAGAGTCTTCGTCTCACCTCAGCTCCAAGGGTCTCAGTGCTCAGAAATATGGCGAATAAAAGGAACAAAAACCACTTCATTGGCTGCATTTTAGGTGAAATCTAGAGTTGGAAACTTTCTGGATATACTGCGAAATGAAAAGCGAACGAAATCTAGGAAGAATGTGATGAAAGTTTTAGAGAATGTTGTTGTTGCGAAGTGGAAGCCTTTATCGCTGAGAATCCGAAGAGCAACAGATAACGATCCTTTTATGCGAGTAAGATACATATGTTGATTAACTGTTACATTTGAGAGGGATTAGAAAATTTATTTAGGCTCTGTACATATCATTTGTGCCTTTGGCTTTCAATAGCGCAAAAGTGTTTCTTATCCATTTGCCATAGTTAACATTCAGTTCTATCATTTGCTAAACATTCCATGAGAAAGCCGTCCCACTGTGCTTTGCATTTGGTATTCGTTTTCATGCAAATTAAGAACGTTCATGAATTATCCATGTTTGAAGATTGGGAAGCAGCTTCTGCCTGGTTGAGCTGTCAGCGAAATTCTAGAAAGGTGGTAAACAAATTGAAAACGCGCTAGTCTTAGGGCGAAATATCTAGGTTTTTTGCGTTTTGCTTCTTCACATTGTGCAAAGGCAACGTATGCTTTGAAAACCCTCTAATCGATGACCAACATAGATATGTGAAATGTAGGCAAACCAGCCCAACACAACTAATGTATAAATTTGCAGAACTAAGTTTGAACTACCCTGTCTGTGCTCCGATATATACTGGCTACATTTCCGTTTGTTATGTTAGTTACAGTATCCGATGTCTTCGATGGTCAGGAATGAGGCCCTCAAGTTTTTATCAATAAGATGTGGGATTGTCGTGTTTACAAGGTTTCCCAAAAATACGTACGCGCTGTATGACTATCAACATCTCTCTTCCCACAAAGCATTCTGCAGATCTTCGGATACCATTCTGTAAAGCTGACTTCGACTTATTGTTTAGACTCACAGTCTGGCGCAAATTGCTGATCATCGTGTGATATGATGGTAGGATTATAAGAAGGCTTTTTGAGTAATGAGGGCCATAAATTGATTAAGAATGATTGCCAAGCGAGCTAATCTTGCATCAAGCCAATCAAGGTCCCTGACACTAAATAAAAACTTGGACTTACCACATTGATCCGTCTGTAAGTTATGCCAGGTTAACAACTGTGTCACATGTTTTCGTCTCTCAAAATATGATTACACCATTAAGAAACCGCGTATAAACTCAAATAGTGGAATCAGCATGTGCAGAACCCTGAAAAATAGCTTTGCAGATTTTTTCGACAGTTTTTTTGGGAACGGCTGAATTGACAGTGACGTTCTATGCTAGAAGTTTTTATGATAATCGTACATCACTGAAGAGCATTGCATTCGCACCACAATGCAAATCTAAATTCCAGCTCTACAGAAACTGCCTCAGATGTGGCAAAAGGCTCTGTGGGATAAGAAATATAGAAAAAACAACAGTGCAAACTAGTTTTGAGACATCATGTGGAGTGAAGGTTTCCATTTCTTGCTTTTGAGGTGCAAAAATACTGGGTTTAGATTGCGTATGTTTAGAAAGATATTGCTCATGTTCACCTTACGTCTCTTTGGTGGTTCTCTGAGAGCTCCTATCTCAACGTTGATAGGCTGAAGTTATCATCCTTTTTAAATAAATGAAAGGCTATGAGCTATCTTTAGCATAACTGAAGCTAGCGCATACTATAGTACTCTGCTGGCATATAAACTCAAAGTTTAAATCTAAAATTGCTCTCTAAGATGTATGTCCCATATAGACTCCTTTGTGTCTAAGCTTAAGCGGTCCAAAATCATATCGAGACCATTGAAGGGGCCTGTACTTATTCATCTACAAGCTATATATGAATTAATGCTAGATATTCTTACAACCTTGCAATCAATTCAGTTTAATCAATTTGTCATTTAGCATTTTGCGTCTCTTTACTAGTTAGCCTTATTTTTATATAAAATCTTACAAGCGCTATGTAAGAAGGAATTAATCGTTTGTTTTCGCAAGTAATGTAGCACGAATATTGCAGTAAAGACAATGAAGATGCTGAGAGAGTTGTAGTTTCTGCCATGAAGGTAAAATACATATGTGGTTTCATAACTCTTTTGACTTTCTTCGGTAACATGGGCTATTGACAACTGGATATTCGCGAAAGAGGTATTTGATTAGTTGCTGCTATAAGTTCGTATCAGGCCTTTCTTCGCGTCAAATAATTAAGTGGTCCATTGCTGTAGCAAATTCTCAAAAATTTGTTTTTTTTGCAGATAGTATTCCTCCTGATCTTGCTTCAATAGTCAGCATTTATTATTTTCACATCATTGTTACATTAATACATAGTGAAACGCATCCGCAAGATTGAAAAAAATTCCAATTTACTGTTCAATAAATTTACTGTTCAATTTCTAATTTACTGTTCAATGAAAAATCTCGTCGATTTTGAT